TCCATCTGCATGGTAGCATGCTGTAGTAGTTGTGGTATTTGAATTGTTTCATCAATTTAGAATTTTGGTTTACTATAAACTGGTGCTTAGTGTATATTGTTAAGACACCTCCCGTGTCTTTAAGCCAAACCGCCGTTTAGTAAACCTTCCCCGGCTGCAGTACAGTCTCTGTTCGCTTACTCTGTAACCCACGAACCAAATGCAGGGGAAGCGGCAATCTCCCGATCGAAATCCACGAACGGCTCCAAACTCCCGAACGGCAATATACGAACTGCTAGGAACCGTCGAACAATAATATCCCCAAAGCGGCTTTCGTTCCATCCAGCAGTCTCTAAACGTGAAGAAGAAATCCCCCCAATAACGAGACAGAAGCTCCGCATTGAGGGTCAAATAAGATCTGGGTTTACTGTGGGCTACCTGCCCGTATTTATGCAGGTCTCCCACCTGGTGGACACTCCCCTAGGGGACCAAATGGAAGACTTAAAGTACAGACAGATAGCAGGACATTTCTGACACACAGTCACATATTTTACCCACAGTACATTCTGATTCCCTCCCCTCTGTCCTGGAGTTAATTACCAAGTAACTCAATTAACTCCAGGACAAGGACAGTCGCCATCTTAAACATGAAATAATAAAAGACACAAAAATGCATAACTACATGAAGACTGAACATTTCCCATTCGTATTACATGTCCCCAGATAGCCTGGATCTGAGTGCATATTATTGGCGAATAGCGCTCAGATCCCACACACATAGTTCAATCGCCATGGAGTCAAAGTTCTTACAGTCCTTCGGTACACGAATGACTCCATGGGTGGGCTATCTGGGTTAAGTCTTTTGTGTGTTCTCAATCTCCCGAACGGCCGATGTTCGCATGCTTTCGTGGAGGCAGCCAGGCGTTCCCTTGTTTCAGCGGTGTTCGACAGAAAAAGTGTCCGTTTTCCGTTCCATAGAAATAGAGCCAAACACCGCTGAGCGTTCGCATGATTTAAAATGGCCGCTGCCTCGTGGTCGACATACGAACGACGACCACCCTGAGTTCGGTTTAATTGAGAAGTGTCTGCGGTTAACCACAACGTTATAATGGTGATCACTTCGTTAACCTGCAGCACACTCCTCACTTGGGTGGCCGTTCGTTCGGCGGTTTTGTTCGGGAAAAAGAGTCATTCGAATGGCTGGGCTATAGAAACCAGCCATTCATACGAACGGGGACAAACAGACGAACGGGCAAAAATCCAGCAGACAGATGGTTCTGTCACACGGCTCCCTCCTTGTGGGACACTCCGGCAGACCCGGCTTGACCCTGTGGCGGGTCAACTTGGGGATGACCGGACTACGAGGTGATGGAAACGTCTGTTTGTCGTGACAACCCATCTGCGTTTCCGTTTAGCTTACCGGGTCTGTAGCTGATGGTAAAATTGTAGGGCTGTAGTGCCAAGCTCCATCTCAGCAGTCTCCCATTGTCTCCTGAGACCCGGTTAAGCCAAACGAGTGGGTTGTGATCAGTCACAAGGGAAAACTCTTGCCCATACAAATAGGGGCTTAACTTTTTCAGTGCCCAGACCAAGGCCAAACATTCCTTCTCCACTGCCGCATAACTCACTTCTCTGGGTAACAACTTTCTGCTGAGATATGCGACAGGGTGCTCTCCTCCATCTTCCCCGACTTGGCTCAGCACAGCCCCCAGTCCATACATGGAAGCATCTGTATGGACGAGAAAGCGTTTGTTAGGGACTGGGGCAGCCAAGACAGGGCATTCACAAGAGCCTGCTTCAGTGCCTGGAACGCAGCTTCACAAGCCGGAGACCACAGGACCTGCTTAGGCAAGTTCTTCTTCGTCAGGTCTGTCAGGGGCTTAGCGATAGCGCTGTAGTCAGGGACAAAACGTCTGTAGTACCCTGCCGTCCCCAAGAAGGCCAATACCTGGGTCTTAGTAGTGGGTGTGGGCCAGTTAGCCACTGCTTCTACCTTGGCTGGCTCTGGTCTCTGGCTCCCACACCCCACTCTGTGACCCAGGTACTGCACTTCAGCCATACCTAGATGACACTTTTCTGGCTTCAACGTCAGGCCAGCGGCCCTAATCTTATCCAGCACTACCCCTACATGTACCAGGTGTTCCTCCCAGGACCCACTGTAGATCGCAATGTCGTCCAAGTATGCACAGGCAAATTCTTGGAAGCCATCCAGGAGTCTATCCACCATCCGTTGGAAGGTAGCCGGTGCATTTTTCATCCCAAAAGGCATGACCTTAAATTGGTACAGGCCAAATGGGGTGACAAATGCCGACTTGGGGATAGCATCCTCGGCCAGGGGGATCTGCCAGTAGCCCTTACACAGGTCTATGGTGGTCAGATATCGCCCCCTGGCAATACGATCTAGTAATTCGTCTACCCGGGGCATTGGGTAGGCGTCAGTGGTGGTCCGCTCGTTGAGTCGCCTGTAGTCCACACAGAACCGGGTGGTCCCATCTTTCTTTGGCACCAGGACTACAGGCGAGGCCCAAGGGCTGTCGGAGTGCTCGATAACCCCAAGTTGGGTCATCTCCTGTATCTCCTTCCGCATTCCTTCACGGACTGCTTCAGGGATACGGTAGGGGGGCTGTCGTAACGGGGTCTGTCCAGGGGTCTCTACCTTATGCACAGCTAGGGTGGTATAACCTGGTTCCTGGGAGAACGTCGCCTGCTTCTCCCATAACAACTGCTGCGCCTGTACCCTTTCTGTGGGGTTCAACCGGTCCCCTAGCTGTACCAAGGTAGTAAGGTCAGTCTGGGAATCCCTTTCTAATAGATCTGGAAGGGGTAAATTCTCAGAATCATCTGCAGCTGGGGCACATACTGCTGCAATATTCTCAGGTCTCTCCTGGTACTCTTTCAGCATGTTCACATGAAAGGACCGCTGGATCCTCTCATCTGCACAGCTGGCTATCAAGTAAGTAGTGTCGCAGATCTGCGCCACTACCTTGTACGGGCCCTGCCAAGATGCTTGCATCTTGTTGGCCTTCACAGGTTTAAGCACCAATACCTTTTGCCCAACCTGGAAGACCCGCTGTCGGGCACCCTGATCGTACCATCTCTTCTGTCTCCCCTGGGCCGCCTGGAGATTCTCCCTTACCATCAGGGACAGTTTCTCCATGCGGTCCCGGAGTTCCAGAACATATGGCACTATGGGGGTCCCTTCCTGCTCCGTCTCCCCCTCCCAGTGGCCTCTAATGAGATCTAGGGGTCCGCGGACCCTTCTCCCATACAGCAGCTCAAAGGGGGAGAACCCAGTAGATTCCTGGGGCACCTCTCTATAAGAAAATAATAGATGAGGCAGGAATCTCTCCCAGTCTCTGCAAGTGTCTGTAAAGGTCCTCAGCATCTGTTTGAGGGTACCGTTAAAGCGCTCGCAGAGACCGTTAGTCTGTGGGTGGTAGGGTGAGCTAAGTAACGGCTTAATGCCGCACACCTTCCACAGTTGCTGGGTGAGCACAGCGGTGAATTGGGTTCCCTGGTCGGAGAGGATCTCCTTAGGGAACCCGACCCTAGTAAAAATTCTAACCAGGGCATCAGCAACCGTCTCTGCCTCTATGTTAGACAGCGCTACTGCCTCTGGATAGCGGGTGGCATAGTCCACCACGGTAAGAACATACTTCTTACCGGATGGACTAGCCCTGGCCAGTGGACCCACAATGTCAACGGCTATGCGGGCAAAGGGCTCCCCTATAATAGGCATCGATAATAGCCTAGCCTTAGGGTGGTCCCCCCGCTTTCCTACCCGTTGACATGTGTCACACGTGCTGCAGTACATCCGCACAGCCTGGTTAAAGTTTGGCCAAAAGAAGTTCTGTGAAATCCTATAGGCTGTGCGGCGGGACCCTAGATGTCCAGCTAAAGGAACATCATGCCCTATCCGCAGAATCTCCTGCCGGTACTTTGCAGGTACCACTAACTGGCGATTCGGCGGAGAGGCAACACTCTTCTGGGAAGGTTTAGGGATCCTATATAACCTGTCCCCCACCCACTCATACCGTTCCCCATCTATTCCTTCCTCCCCAGCCTCTGCCCTGTCCTTGTATCTTTGGAGGGTCGGATCTGCCCGGGTTTCCCTCCCAAACTCCTCTGGGGAATCCCAGCTTAAGGGGACCTGATCTGGGGTACCAGTCGGGGAAGGAGATCTTACCTGGGTCTCGTCAGCAAGTGGGCTGGTTCCGGCAGCACGGGTCTGGGCACGGGTGGTCACTGGGTTCACGTCTGCAGGGCCCATCGGAGCATAGGCTGAAACCAAAGGGGCCAAATCGTTTCCCAAAAGAACATCTGCGGGCAAGTCCTTCATCACCCCCACATCCACATGCCTAGCGCCCACTCCCCAATCCAAATGTACTCGGGCAACAGGTAAGCGAAACACGGCACCCCTGCTACCCTTACTGCCACAGTGTCTCCAGTGTGTTGATGCTCTGAGACCAAGTTCTTTTGGAGCAGTGTCATCGTGGCTCCTGTGTCTCTCAGCCCATTCACCACTCTGCCATTTAGTTTCACAGTTTGCCGATGTTGCTGGCGATTATCCTGGTGAGCCGCTTGCACTGGGTCTGCCTCGTGCAGAATGCCCCAAAATTCCTCCTGCTCTAGGCAGTGAGCAGCAGGCTGAGGTGGGCGCTGGTTTCCGTTAACTGGTCTCCTCCAGGACTGAGCCTGGTTGGCACTGTTCAGGGGGCACTCAGGACGCTTGTGTCCCAACTGCTTGCACCCATAGCACCGGATGGGTTGGGAGTACTCCCGGGCATTAAATCGGGCTGGTTGCATATAATTGTTAGCTGGTGGTGCGGCTGGGGTACGGTGTACTGGGGGTTGGTAGACTGCAGGGGCGGGTGTTACTGCTGGTCGATACTCCAGTCTGGCAGGGGCTTTAGCAGCTGTACCATCCAACTTGCGGGCATCCGTGTATTCGTCTGCCAGACGGGCAGCCTCGGGTAGGGTAGAGGGTTTTCTGTCTCTGACCCATTCCCGGACTCCAGCAGGTAGTCTATCAAAGCAGTGCTCCAGCAGGAACACTTGTAACACCTCCTCCCCAGTTACCGCTTGGCATCCAGCCATCCAGTGGGCTGCGGTACGATGGACTCTGCAGGCCCATTCCACATAAGAGTCCCCAGCCAGCTTGTTGGTTTCTCTAAACCTCCGCCTGTACGCCTCTGGGGTCACTGCATACCTGGCTAGGAGCGCCTCTTTCACAGCCCGATAGCTGGTGATCTCCTCCTCTGGGATGGCCCGAAAAGCTTCACTAGCCCGGCCAGATAATTTCCCAGAGAGGATGGTGACCCATTCATCTGCAGGTACCTGATGTAGCGCACACTGCCTCTCAAAGTCTGCCAAAAATCCATCAATCTCTCCCTCTGTTTCCACAAAATTTTTAAACGCAGCCAAAGGTACCTTTTTTCTAGCAACCACATTATTGTCATACGGTACCTCTGCTGCTGCAGCTCCTCTTTCCCGGGCTGCCTGTTGTGTTGCAACTGCTGCCTGCACACGAACCACGATGTCAGCTGAGGGGTTGGGGCCAAAATATGCCAGCCTTATTTGTACTGCCCGGTTGAATTGTATTTCCTCGGGTGTTAAATCCAAGGTACTGGGCACGTTGACTCTTTCCATTCCCGTTGCTGCATCCATCTCCATTAGCAAAGCAATAATCTCCCTTTTCTTTAAATTGCTTGCTGACCTTCCTCGGCGTTCCAATATGTCCTTAAGTGTAGCACGCCTTAATTCCTCGTACTGCATGTCTCGTAGCTGACCTCCAGTGCTGTAGGATTCATCCCGTCGCTTGCCACCAATTGTTAAGACACCTCCCGTGTCTTTAAGCCAAACCGCTGTTTAGTAAACCTTCCCCGGCTGCAGTACAGTCTCTGTTCGCTTACTCTGTAACCCACGAACCAAATGCAGGGGAAGCGGCACTCCCCCGATCGAAATCCACGAACGGCTCCAAACTCCCGAACGGCAATATACGAACTGCTGGTAACCGTCGAACAATAATATCCCCAAAGCGGCTTTCGTTCCATCCAGCAGTCTCTAAGCGTGAAGAAGAAATCCCCCCAATAACGAGACAGAAGCTCCGCATTGAGGGTCAAATAAGATCTGGGTTTACTGTGGGCTACCTGCCCGTATTTATGCAGGTCTCCCACCTGGTGGACACTCCCCTAGGGGACCAAATGGAAGACTTAAAGTACAGACAGATAGCAGGACATTTCTGACACACAGTCACATATTTTACCCACAGTACATTCTGATTTCCTCCCCTCTGTCCTGGAGTTAATTACCAAGTAACTCAATTAACTCCAGGACAAGGACAGTCGCCATCTTAAACATGAAATAATAAAAGACACAAAAATGCATAACTACATGAAGACTGAACATTTCCCATTCGTATTACATGTCCCCAGATAGCCTGGATCTGAGTGCAGATTATTGGCGAATAGCGCTCAGATCCCACACACATAGTTCAATCGCCATGGAGTCAAAGTTCTTACAGTCCTTCGGTACACGAATGACTCCATGGGTGGGCTATCTGGGTTAAGTCTTTTGTGTGTTCTCAAACTCCCGAACGGCCGATGTTCGCATGCTTTCGTGGAGGCAGCCAGGCGTTCCCTTGTTTCAGCGGTGTTCGACAGAAAAAGTGTCCGTTTTCCGTTCCATAGAAGTAGAGCCAAACACCGCTGAGCGTTCGCATGATTTAAAATGGCCGCTGCCTCGTGGTCGACATACGAACGACGACCACCCTGAGTTCGGTTTAATTGAGAAGTGTCTGCGGTTAACCACAGCGTTATAATGGTGATCACTTCGTTAACCTGCAGCACACTCCTCACTTGGGTGGCCGTTCGTTCGGCGGTTTTGTTCGGGAAAAAGAGTCATTCGAATGGCTGGGCTATAGAAACCAGCCATTCATACGAACGGGGACAAACAGACGACCGGGCAAAAATCCAGCAGACAGATGGTTCTGTCACACGGCTCCCTCCTTGTGGGACACTCCGGCAGACCCGGCTTGACCCTGTGGCGGGTCAACTTGGGGATGACCGGACTACGAGGGGATGGAAACGTCTGTTTGTCGTGACAACCCATCTGCGTTTCCGTTTAGCTTACCGGGTCTGTAGCTGATGGTAAAATTGTAGGGCTGTAGTGCCAAGCTCCATCTCAGCAGTCTCCCATTGTCTCCTGAGACCCGGTTAAGCCAAACGAGTGGGTTATGGTCCGTCACCAGGGAAAACTCTTGCCCATACAAGTAGGGACTTAACTTTTTCAATGCCCAGACCAAGGCCAAACACTCCTTCTCCACTGCCGCATAACTCACTTCCCTGGGTAACAACTTTCTGCTGAGATATGCGACAGGGTGCTCTCCTCCATCTTCCCCGACTTAGCTCAGCACAGCCCCCAGTCCATACATGGAAGCATCTGTATGGACGAGAAAGCATTTGTTAGGGACTGGGGCAGCCAAGACAGGGGCATTCACAAGAGCCTGCTTCAGTGCCTGGAACGCAGATTCACAAGCCGGAGACCACAGGACCTGCTTAGGCAAGTTTTTCTTGGTCAGATCTGTCAGGGGCTTAGCGATAGCGCTGTAGTCAGGGACAAAGCGTCTGTAGTACCCTGCCGTCCCCAAGAAGGCCAATACCTGGGTCTTAGTAGTGGGTGTGGGCCAGTTAGCCACTGCTTCTACCTTGGCTGGCTCTGGTCTCTGGCTCCCACACCCCACTCTGTGACCCAGGTACTGCACTTCAGCCATACCTAGATGACACTTTTCTGGCTTCAACGTCAGGCCAGCGGCCCTAATCTTATCCAGCACTACCCCTACTTGTACCAGGTGTTCCTCCCAGGACCCACTGTAGATCGCAATGTCGTCCAAGTATGCACAGGCAAATTCTTGGAAGCCATCCAGGAGTCTATCCACCATCCGTTGGAAAGTAGCCGGTGCATTTTTCATCCCCAAAGGCATGACCTTAAATTGGTACAGGCCAAATGGGGTGACAAATGCCGACTTGGGGATAGCATCCTCGGCCAGGGGGATCTGCCAGTAGCCCTTACACAGGTCTATGGTGGTCAGATATCGCCCCCTGGTAATACGATCTAGTAATTCGTCTACCCGGGGCATTGGGTAGGCGTCAGTGGTGGTCCGCTCGTTGAGTCGCCTGTAGTCCACACAGAACCGGGTGGTCCCATCTTTCTTTGGCACCAGGACTACAGGCGAGGCCCAAGGGCTGTCGGAGTGCTCGATAACCCCAAGTTGGGTCAACTCCTGTATCTCCTTCCGCATTCCTTCACGGACTGCTTCAGGGATACGGTAGGGGGGCTGTCGTAACGGGGTCTGTCCAGGGGTCTCTACCTTATGCACCGCTAGGGTGGTATAACCTGGTTCCTGGGAGAACGTCGCCTGCTTCTCCCATAACAACTGCTGCGCCTGTACCCTTTCTGTGGGGTTCAACCGGTCCCCTAGCTGTACCAAGGTAGTAAGGTCAGTCTGGGAATCCCTTTCTAATAGATCTGGAAGGGGTAAATTCTCAGAATCATCTGCAGCTGGGGCACACACTGCTGCAATGTTCTCAGGTCTCTCC